TACTGGCGTGCAGTAGGGTGGCATTGCCTCCATGTGTCCATGAGGTCATTCTCCCTCAGCACACTGGCCAGCAGAGCAGCAGAACTTGGATGGGGCTCTGCCGTGTTCCTATCATGAAGGTGTGTTGTACAATTCCAGTCCCCTCCCACTACTATAGCAGAGTCACTGTTCAAACCTCTGAGCTGCCTGTTCAGAGTGTGCACTAGCTGTGCCCGGCTTACAGGTGAGTTGTGTGCATAGATGTTTATGAACACAAAGTGTGTTCCCCTTATTGTCCCTTGAACCACCTGCAGCCTGCCCCCCTCCACTTCTAGGTGAGTGGCATTACTCAGCCTCACCCGCTCGGATAACAGCACTGCTACTCCTGCACTTACATTAGACCCATGGCTCATGAACATGGGCCCTGACCAAACCCTGCTCCAGTCTGTCTCATTGTCCCCTGTGCTGTGTGTCTCCTGTAGGAGTAACACATCAATATGTTTAAGTTTGCCCATCTCAGCCACTGCTGCTTGCTTCTCTTGATTCCTGCCTCCATTAATATTCAAAGTTCCTATTCTGAGGCTCTCCATAGGAAAAAGGAAACAGAAAACAAAGAGAACAGTAAATGAACACAAGTTGAGAGAAAGACACCAATGTGTACCACCCATTATTCCTATTTCGTGGTCCCTGATCCTTTTTTCCCCTTGTTGATCCTTCCTAAAAGCTTTGCCAACCTGTACCTTTTCTTTTGGCTTAACTGATCGACTCCCACCTGCCTCTTTAATTTCCTGACTGAATTAATGAAGCCATCAACATCGGGGAAGAAGTCTTGCACATTAACTGATTTGTTACCATATGTAACATCCAAAAACTCATTAATGTCTTTAATAGAGTAAGGAGGGGGCTCTTCTGGCCCCGCCTCCTGAGACATGTCTGAGAACTGTGACAGTGTGTCTTCCTCATCCCTGTCCTCTCCGTCCTCACACTGCTCACTGTCCCCCTCTGCTGCACCTCCCTCCTCTGTGCCCCCCTCATCTGCACTGTCAGTGTTTTGTGACGGGAGCGGGGCACTGGTTACAGTCTCCCCCCGCACGTCCGCCTCCTCCTGTTGCCCACTCTGCATCTCTGTACTCTCATCCACCTGTGGCACGCTGGACATCTCTGCCTCTGTCTGAGCATCTGCTGCTCTACAGGGCCCCGGCTGCTCCTGCTCTGCCCCCCTAACCTCACCGGGTGTATTCGCTGTTGGTGCGCCCGCTGCGTGCGCCTCCCGCTCGGACTCTCCCTCTCGGGCCTCTCGATGGGGACATGACGCACGCTTGTGCCCTACGTCTCCGCACTCAAAACACCTCATACTCCCTGAGCTCACGTACAGCGTGTAGTGCCTACTCTCAAATTTAACAGCAAAAGACAGCTCCAGCACACCGCTTGGATCATTCAGATACATGAAACACTGGCGTCTAAGTGATTGTACATGCTGCAGTCGGGCGTCTTTACAACCCAAACGCACCGGCTTTAACCCACTCGCTAACTTACCAAAGCGCACCAGCTCCCTCTCTATACACTCATTTGAGATGAACGGTGGTACGCCAGACACCGTCACCCTCACAGGCACAAACAGTGGCGACACCGACACAAACTCATTCTCCAGCACCAGCCCACTTTCTACAGCGTCATGAACAAGACGCGTTTCGCGTAAGAAAGCGACCACCGCCTTGTTCATACGTGAACCATATACAATGTTCTGGTGGCCCACCTGCTCCCCCAGGCTCAACAACACCTGCTCTACAGTGAACCGTGGGTCAGTCACTACTCTGACCCCGTGTTTAAGTGACAGGGGCTGCGCGCCCTCCTCTGAGAGGGACGCCATGCCCGACAACTCTGGGCAACTCGCTCTAAAGTTACTCAACACAAGCCAAAGAGAGAAACCAAGCCCTTACCTTCTCCCGCAGAGTGACAGAACAGATGGAGAAAGTCAACTCACTCACGCGCCTCCATTCCTCCACACCACAGACCTGCCACACGCTCACACACGCGCACGTGCACCCGGCAGGACCCGGAGGAGAAGAGGAGAAGAAGAGAAGAAGAGAAGAGGAGAAGAAGAGAAGAAGAGAAGAAGAGAGAGAAGAGAGAAGAAGAGAAGAAGAAGAGAAGAGAGAGAAGAGAAGAGGAGAGAAGAGGAGAAGAGAGAGAAGAAGAGAGAGAGAGAAGAAGAAGAAGAGAAGAAGAAGAGGAGAAGAGAGAAGAGGAGAAGAAGAGAGAAGAGAAAGAGAGAAGAAGAGAAGAAGAGAAGAAGAAGAGAGAGAAGAGAGAAGAAGAGAGAAGAGAGAAGAGAAGAAGAAGAGAAGAAGAGAAGAGAAGAGAAGAAGAGAGAAGAGAGAAGAGAGAGAGAGAAGAAGAGAAGAGAAGAAGAAGAGAAGAAGAGAAGAAGAGAAGAAGAGAAGAGAGAAGAAGAAGAGAGAAGAAGAGAAGAGAGAAGAAGAGAAGAGGAGAAGAAGAGAGAAGAAGAGAGAGAGAGAGAGAGAAGAAGAGAGAAGAAGAGAAGAAGAGAAGAGAGAAGAGAAGAAGAGAAGAAGAGAAGAAGAGAAGAAGAAGAAGAAGAAGAAGAAGAAGAGAAGAAGAGAGAGAAAGAAGAGAAGAAGAGAGAGAAGAAGAGAAGAAGAGAAGAGAGAAGAAGAGAGAAGAGAAGAGAGAGAGAAGAAGAAGAAGAGAGAGAGAAGAAGAGAGAAGAAGAAGAGAGAGAGAAGAGAAGAGAGAGAGAGAGAGAGAAGAGAGAGAAGAGAAGAAGAGAAGAGAGAAGAAGAAGAGAGAAGAAGAAGAGAGAAGAGAAGAGGAGAGAAGAAGAGAAGAGAGAGAAGAGAAGAGAAGAGAGAAGAGAGAGAAGAGAGAGAGAAGAGAAAGAGAAGAGAGAGAAGAGAAGAAGAGAGAGAGAAGAAGAGAAGAGAGGAGAGAAGAGAAGAAGAGAGAAGAGAGAAGAGAAGAGAAGAGAGAAGAGAGAGAAGAAGAGAAGAGAGAAGAAGAGAAGAAGAGAGAGAAGAGAGAAGAGAGAGAGGAGAAGAAGAAGAGAGAGAAGAGAAGAAGAGAAGAGAAGAAGAGAAGAAGAAGAAGAAGAAGAAGAAGAAGAGAAGAAGAGAGAGAGAGAGAAGAGAGAGAAGAGAGAAGAGAGAAGAGAGAAGAAGAAGAGAAGAGAAGAAAGAAGAAGAAAGAAGAGAGAAGAGAAGAAGAAGAGAGAAGAAGAGAGAGAAGAAGAAGAAGAGAGAAGAGAGAAGAAAGAAGAGAGAGAAGAAAGAAGAGAGAGAAGAGAGAAGAGAGAAGAAAGAAGAGAGAGAGAAGAGAGAGAGAAGAGAAGAGGAGAAGAGAGAAGAGAGAAGAAGAAGAAGAAGAGGAGAAGAGAAGAGGAGAAGAGAAGAGGAGAAGAGGAGAAGAGAAGAGGAGAGAAGAAGAGAAGAGGAGAAGAGAGAGAGAAGAAGAGAAGAAGAGAGAGAGAGAGAAGAGAGAAGAGAAGAGAGAAGAGAGAAGAAGAGAAGAAGAGAAGAGAGAAGAGAAGAGAGAAGAAGAGAGAAGAGAAGAAGAGAAGAGAGAAGAAGAGAGAAAGAGAGAGAAGAGAGAGAAGAGAGGAAGAAGAGAGAAGAGAGGAAGAAGAGAGAAGAGGAGAAGAGAGAAGAAGAAGAGAAGAAGAGAAGAGAGAGAAGAAGAGAGAGAGAAGAGAAGAAGAGAAGAGAGAAGAGAGAAGAAGAGAAGAAGAGAGAAGAGAGAAGAGAGAAGAGAGAAGAGAGAGAAGAGAGAGAAGAGAAGAGAGAAGAGAAGAGAGAGAAGAGAGAAGAGAGAAGAGAGAGAAGAGAGAAGAAGAGAAGAGAGAAGAGAAGAAGAGAAGAGAGAGAAGAGAGAGAAGAAGAGAGAGAGAGAAGAAGAGAAGAGAGAAGAGAAGAGTGAGTGATGATGCCTCGTGTCTGTGTCAGTTTGAGTCGGTGATTTGTTTGAGGAGGTTCAGGTGAAGAACAACAGTGAGTCTCTACGGTAAATGTCACATCTGACGTACACACTGTGTGACGTACACACTGTGACGTACACACTGTGACGTACACACTGTGTGACGTACACACTGTGACGTACACACTGTGTGACGTACACACTGTGACGTACACACTGTGTGATGTACACACTGTGGGACATACACACTGTGTGACGTACACACTGTGTGACGTACACACTGTGTGACGTACACACTGTGTGACGTACACACTGTGACGTACACACTGTGTGACGTACACACTGTGTGACGTACACACTGTGTGACGTACACACTGTGACGTACACACTGTGACGTACACACTGTGTGACGTACACACTGTGTGACGTACACACTGTGTGACGCCCACTGCATCTGCAATCACTCACACCACTTTGTGACATCATGAGGTGGAGGTCCTGCAGGTTCAGGTCCAGAATGAGTCCAGGATCAGGTCCAACAAACCTTTCACAGTAAAAGCCTCAGATGTGTCTCTTCATTATGTCACATTAACACTGCGCTCTGATTGGCTGAGAGCCATCGGTGACATCACCACTGTTCAGTGTCACTCTCCTCCACACTGGTGTTAATGTGGAGGTGTTAAAGCGGAGGTGTTAAAGCGGAGGTGTTAAAGCGGAGGTGTTAAAGCGGAGGTGTTAATGTGGAGGTGTTAAAGCGGAGGTGTTAGGTGTTCTGTACCATTCAAAAACACACAGCCTGTACGAGGCTCCGCCCCCACACTCCCACACGACAGTTCTCCATAAAAACACAAAAACACGACACAAAATGAAAATGAAGCAACTGGACAAACGTGATGTTTGTGCAGGAGTTTGATTAGTGAACGATCTGAACGGGAGAGAAATAATCATATTTATAATAATGTTTGTTTCTAATGATATGTTGCATAATGAGGGGGCGGAGTCACATTTACATAAACATTATATGTTTCATAATGAGGGGGCGGAGTCTCATTTACATAAACATCAGGTTTATTGATGATTGACAGGTGACATCAGCAGGACGTGAAGGTCTTCCAGAAGAAGTTCTTACAGCCCGCCTTCCTTTCTCTGGGAGCCAATAGGAGCGCGTCTCTCTGCACGTGCACGCCCGCCGGGTCTGTGCGCATGCCCTCAGAGTCCACGTGCGCGCCCTCAGTGTCCGGGTCCTGCACCGAGTCGTTCTCCAGCGACAGGAGCTCTGACAGGAGCAGAGACGACAGGAGCGACAGGTCCTGAAAACAAACGGAACCAAATATGAAGAACGATTCTGAAAGAAACAACGGCCCAAACTCAGAGTGTCACTAAAGTCCAGAAAACCCAACAACACCTGCGCGCTCATTTACATCTCATTTACATAAACAATGAACATGTATTTGGTTAGAAACGCCCCCTGAACTTCCAAATATGGTCAATATGGGTTAGGGTTGTCACAGAGGTCACAGGGGTCACAGGGGTCACGGAGGTCACAGGGGGAGGATGGACGTCTGGAATGTCCCATAATCCTCGGTTCTGTTCTGGACTCGTGTTTCGTTTCGTTCACATGTTTAACGCACAAAGAGTTCTGTTCCACCTTGTGATGTCATCATGTGGTGATAGTGAAGTGCTCCACTGTGTTTTTAAACTCCACACACCTTCACTAGAATCAACTGGAACATTTCAGTCGTGGAGTTTTGATCTCGACTCAACTAAAGGGAAAAGGAGCTGAGAACTTGATGACATCACAAGGTGGAACAGAGAGTTTGGAGTTTTACAGATGAAACAGACTCAGAATAAACAAACAAACAAACAAAAAAACAAACACAAGTCCAGCTCTGAGTGTGACAGGAACAACACAACAACACACAACACAACCACAGAACAACAACAACACAACAACAGAACAACACAACAACAGAACAACACAACAACAACACAACAACACAACAACACAACAACAGAACAACACAACAACACAACAACACAACAACAGAACAACACAACAACACAACAACAGAACAACAGAACAACACAACAACACAACAACACAACAACAGAACAGCACAACAACAACAACAACACAACAACAGAACAACACAACAACACAACAACAGAACAACACAACAACAGAACAACACAACACAGAACAACACAACAACACAACAACACAGAACAACACAACAACAGAACAACACAACAACAGAACAACACAACAACAGAACAACAGAACAACAACAACACAACAACAACAACAGAACAACACAACAACAGAACACAACGACAGAACGACACAACAACACAACAACAGAACAACACAACAACACAACAACAGAACAACAGAACAACAGAACAACACAACAACAGAACAACACAACAACAGAACATGAGAACAACACAACAGAACAACACAACAACAGAACAACAGAACAACAACAACAGAACAACAACACAACAACAGAACATGAGAACAACACAACAGAACAACAGAACAACAGAACAACACAACAACACAACAACACAACAACAGAACATGAGAACATGACTTAAAGCTCAGAGTTTGTGTTTCAGGAGTTTTAAAGATGTTCCTCAGACTCAGGTTCTGTGCTCCTCGTCCAGAGTCTCACGTCTGAAGAAAAGTCCAGGATTTTTCTGACCGGGGTCTGGACCGGGGTCTGGACTGAGGTCTAGACCGGGGTCTGGACTGAGGTCTAGACCGGGGTCTGGACCGGGGTCTGGACTGAGGTCTAGACCGGGGTCTGGACTGAGGTCTAGACCGGGGTCTGGACCGGGGTCTGGACTGAGGTCTAGACCGGGGTCTGGACCGGGGTCTGGACTGAGGTCTAGACCGGGGTCTGGACCGGGGTCTGGAGCCTCTTTCCTCCAGTGAGGTGGTTGGAGCTGCTGCTCTGGAGTCTGGAGTCTGGTGGAGGTGGATTTATGGAACAATCGGAGGTTTTTAAAACATTAAACCTTTAATTTAAAATCCAACGTTTTACATTTACACCAGTTTAGACACAAACGGTTTTGTTTTATGAATCAAACTCGTTTGTATAATTCCTGTTTGTTTTGGGGAGAAAAATGATGGAGCTGGTGCCTCCTCAGCTCCAGACCCGGTCCAGACCCGGTCCAGACCCGGTCCTGGTCCAGACCCGGTCCTGGTCCAGACCCGGTCCTGGTCCAGTCCTGGTCCTGGTCCAGACCCGGTCCTGGTCCAGACCTGGTCCTGGTCCAGACCTGGTCCTGTGACCTGTGAGCAGAAGGTTCTGGACAGATATATTTGTAGATAATTGTACAGTTGTAGGGAGTATTATCTGTTACATAAGAGTTGTTATTATTATTGTTATATTTTTTTATTATTATTATTAAAGTTGAGCTTCGTTCTTATGAACAGATTTGTTCTTCAATCCTTTGGTTCTTTGGTTTTCAGGAAAAAAAGAACAAAAACAACAGGAAACATTTTTCCTGCACAATTTTTACTTCTGTATTTTTTTTTATTTCCTGTAAACATAAAACTGTGATCGATGAGATTTAGGACGAGTTTATAGAACACAGGTTCTATGATAGAACATGTTATAGAACATGTTATAGAACATATAACAGAACATATGATAGAACATATAACGGAACATATGATAGAACATATAACAAACATAACAGACATATGAACATATGATAGAACATATAACAAACATATGATAGAACATGTGTATGTTTTGTACTAGAACCTTGGGTCTTGGGTCTCAGACTTTCTGTTGTCTGAGTCTCATTTTGTCTCCAAATGTTTCTTTGTCACAGAGTCTGGACTCATCACCAACCCCCCCCCCCCCACACACACACACACACACCGACAGGATTCATGAATCAGCACCGTTATTATTCTGATTTCTTCAACTTCTGGCGCTGTGCGCTTTTTACGCGCGGACCTGACGCGCGGACCTGACGCGCGGAGCTCTCGTGAGTAAAAGTATTTTGTGATTGAAAAGTTTCTGATGTGTGAGACCGAACCACAGAGTGACACGCGCACGAGTCTGAGCGAACACGGCACATCAAACAAATAAAAACACGTCTAAAACCACGTGATCGATATGAAACTCGTATAAACACGGATCAAATATAAATCTCATATAAAATTATATTAAAATTAAACTCACGTGCTGCTGTTTGTCGGGGCCGAGCTGCGCGCTCCGGAGCAGCGCGTGCAGTTTGTCAGAGTCTGGACGCGCGCACACGCAGAGCGCGAGCATGAGCAGCGCCACGAGCACGCGCATCCCGGTCTGAGCCGCGGGTCCGGTTCTGGGTCCGGGTCTGTTTCCGGGTCTCGGGCTCATGGTCGGTCCGGTCTCAGTCCGGGGTCTGGGTCTGCGCGAGGCTCCGGGGCGCGCGCGTTTATACCGGGAGTGACGTCACTGACACCGGCCACTGACGTCATCCCCGGAGTCCCGACAGGTGGCACGCGGGGTTTTCCGGTCCTGCCTCAGTGAGTCCAGATCTGAGACTAGACCAGGACTAGACCAGGACTAGACCAGGACCAGATCCGGATCAGGACTGAGCCCAGCCTGAGGCACGTGTGTTTCTACTTCAGTTTGTCTCCAGACCCAGATGCCCTCCCCGTGGTCTGGTTCTGGTTCTGTCAGAGTCCCTCCGTCTCTTTTAGAGACCAGACCAAGTCACTAACAGAAAACACTGCTCCACCTCGTGATGTCATCATGTGGTGATACAGGAAGTGCTCCACTGTGTTTTTAAACTCCACACACCTTCACTAGAATCAACTGGATCATTTCAGTCGTGGATTTTGATCTCGACTGAACTAAAGAGAAAAGGAGCTGAGAACTTGATGACATCACAAGGTGCAGGGTGCGGGTACAGGGTGCGGGTGCGGGGTGCGGGTGCGGGGTGTGCGGGTAGGGTGCGGGTGCAGGGTGTGGGTGCAGGGTGTGGGTGCGGGTGCGGGCAGGGTGTGGGTGCAGGGTGTGGGTGCAGGTGTGCGGGTGTGGGTGCAGGGTGTGGGTGCAGGGTGCAGGGTGCGGGTGCAGGGTGTGGGTGCAGGGTGTGGGTGCGGGAGGGTGCAGGTGTGGGTGCAGGGTGGGTGCAGGGTGTGGGTGCAGGGTGTGGGTGCAGGGTGTGGGTGCAGGGTGCAGGGTGTGGGTGCAGGGTGCGGGTACAGGGTGTCAACACAACACACACACAACAACAACACACAACACATGCAAGGACGCTGTGTGTTGTGTGTGTTGTGCGTCCGTGTTGTGTGTTGTTGTGCGTCCTCGAGTGTGTGTGTTGTGTGTTCATGTTGTGTGTGTTATGCGTCCGTGTGTGTGTTGTGTGTGTTGTGTGTTCATGTTGTGTGTGTTATGCGTCCGTGTGTGTGTTGTGTGTATAGTGTGTTGTTGTGTCTTTGTTGTGCGTCCCCGCGTGTGTGTCGTTGTGTGTGTTGTGTGTATAGTGTCGTTGTGCATTCATGTTGTGCGTCCCCGCATGTGTGTGTTGTGTGTATTGTGTTGTGTGTCGTTGTGTGTTCGTGTTGTGCGTCCCCGTGTGTGTTGTTGTGTGTTCTTGTTGGGTGTATAGTGTGTTGTGTGTCATTGTGTTTGTTGTGTGTTGTGTGTATAGTGTGTTGTGCGTCCCTGCGTGTGTGTGTTGTGTGTTCTTGTTGTGTGTATAGCGTGTGTTGTGTCTTTGTTGTGCGTCCCCGCGTGTGTGTGTTGTGTGTATTGTGTTGTGTGTATAGTGTGTTGTGTATCATTGTGCGTCCCCGCGTGTGTGTTTTTGTGTGTGTTGTTGTGTGTTCATGTTGTGTATCGTTGTGCGTCCCCGCGTGTGTGTCGTTGTGTGTATAGTGTCGTTGTGCGTCCCCGTGTGTGTCGTTGTGCGTTCATGTTGTGTTTGTGTTGTGTGTGTCTTTGTTGTGCGTCCCTGCGTGTGTTGTGCGTTCGTGTTGTGCGTCCCCGCGTGTGTGTGTTGTTGTGTGTTCATGTTGTGTGTGTTGTGCGTTCATGTTGTGTGTGTGTGTTGTTGTGCATTCATGTTGTGTGTGTTGTGTGTTCGTGTTGTGCGTCCCCGCGTGTGTGTGTGTGTCTTGTTGTGCGTTCATGTTGTGTGTTCATGTTGTGTGTGTGTGTTGTTGTGCGTTCATGTTGTGTGTTTGTGTTGTGCGTTCATGTTGTGTGTTTGTGTTGTGCGTTCATGTTGTGTGTGTGTGTTGTGCGTTCGTGTTGTGTGTTGTGCGTCGTTGTGCATTGTGCGTTCGTGTTGGGTGTGTTGTGTGTTCATGTTGTGTGTTTGTGTTGTGCGTTCATGTTGTGTGTTTGTGTTGTGCGTTCGTGTTGTGTGTTGTGCATTGTGCGTTTGTGTTGTGTGTCGTTGTGTGTTGTGCGTTCATGTTGTGTGTGTTGTGTGTCGTTGTGCATTGTGCGTTTGTGTTGTGTGTGTTGTGTGTCATTGTGTGTTGTGCGTTCGTGTTGTGTGTGTTGTGTGTCGTTGTGCATTGTGCGTTCGTGTTTTGTGTGTTGTGTGTCGTTGTGCATTGTGCGTTCGTGTTTTGTGTGTTGTGTGTGTTGTGTGTCGTTGTGCATTGTGCGTTCATGTTGTGTGTGTTGTGTGTCGTTGTGCATTGTGCGTTCGTGTTGTGTGTGTTGTGTGTCGTTGTGCATTGTGCGTTCGTGTTTTGTGTGTGTTGTGTGCCGTTGTGCATTGTGCGTTCGTGTTGTGTGTGTTGTGTGTCGTTGTGCATTGTGCGTTCGTGTTGTGTGTGTTGTGTGTGTTGTGTGTGTTGTGTGTCGTTGTGCGTCCCCGCGGGAGGCTCATGCACAAACACTTTTTGCACACGTCACTGCGCGGTGTTAGCATTAGCGTTAGCCTAATGAGGCTAATGAAGCTAATGTGGCGCTAATGTGAAGCTAATGAGAGTAAACAGCAACAGCAGGAGGCGCCTGCCGCTCCTGCCGCTCCTGCCGCTCCTGCGCTCCTGACGCTCCTGCCGCTCCATTACACAAACACTCAGAGACCAAGACCAAGACCAAGACCAGGACCAGGACCAGAACTAAACCAGGATCCTGGAGACCTGAAGACCAGGTCAAAGGTCAAACTGTGAGGCTCCAGAGTACAACAACAGTACTACAACTGTACTACAAGAGTACTACAACTGTACTACAACAGTACTACAACAGTACTACAACTGTACTACAACTGTACTACAACAGTACTACAACTGTACTACAAGAGTACTACAACTGTACTACAACAGTACTACAACTGTACTACAACTAGTACTACAACAGTACTACAACTGTACTACAACTGTACTACAACAGTACTACAACAGTACTACAACAGTACTACAACTGTACTACAACAGTACTACAACAGTACTACTACAACGTACTACAAAGTACTACAACAGTACTACAACAGTACTACAACTGTACTACAACAGTACTACAACAGTACTACAACTACAACAGTACTACAACTGTACTACAACTGTACTACAACAGTACTACAAGAGTACTACAACAGTACTACAACAGTACTACAACTGTACTACAACTGTACTACAACAGTACTACAACAGTACTACAACAGTACTACAACAGTACTACAACTGTACTACAAACTAGTACTACAACAGTACTACAACTGTACTACAACAGTACTACAACAGTACTACAACTGTACTACAACAGTACTACAAGAGTACTACAACAGTACTACAACTGTACTACAGTAGTACTACAACAGTACTACAGTAGTACTACAACAGTACTACAGTAGTACTACTGTTAAAGTAATGCTGCTGTAAAACTGCAGTAGTTTTACAGCAGCATTACTATGACAGTAGTACTTTAACAGTAGTACTACAGTAGTACTTTAACAGTAGTACTTTAACAGTAGTACTTTAACAGTAGTACTACAGCAGTACTTTAACAGTAGTACTACAGTAGTATTTGAACAGTAGTACTACAGTAGTACTGCAGTTATATTAGACTTAAATATTCTCTAGACGGGGACACGGAAGTTCACACATCACTGTGTGTTATATATTTTATTTCTTAAAAGTATTTTATACATTATAATTATAGTTATTTTATTTATTATGTACATATTATATTTATTATATATTTATTATATTTATTTTATTTATTATATTTTAAATTACTGTTGTTATTTGCTGACAAACAGAAAACAAAACTTAGATTTTCACGTATTTATTCTGCAAAAGTGATTTTACAACTGACCCACAACTGACAAACAACTGACCCACAACTGACAAACAACTGACCCACAACTGACAAACAACTGACCCACAACGACAACTGACCCTGAAACTGTTGTGGAGCACATTAAAGCTGAGAAAGGTCAGTGTGCATGAGGCTCTTCGACTGTGAACGTGAGACGAGAACATCCAGCTGAGGAGACCAGTGGAGCTCCTCCTGCACCTGAGAAGAATCAGCTCTGGACTGATGGACCCTGGAGAAGATCACGACTGTTTTCAGACTCTTCACACGCGTCTGTGCTGAAGGTCGTGTCTGCTCGAGCCTCAGGGAGGTTTTTTTTTTTTTTTGACCAAGTTTGGATGAAAACTCGAGGTGTGAGTGTCTCCTCCTCTTCCTCTCCTCTTCCTCCACTCCTCATCTTCTTCCTCTCTCCTTCTCTGAGCTCTGTCTGTACTCATGATGTTCTCCTCCTCCTCTTCTCTTCCTCCATTGTGACTTGTGAATATTGATCGAGTCTAAATGAGCTTAAATGAGTTTGTTATTGTGTTCGTGTCTTTCTCTGTGTGTCCTCCTCCTCTCCTCTTTCTCTTTTTTCTCTTCCGTTTTTCTCTTAATCGGGTCTAAATGAGTTTGAACGCTGTGGTCCCGCCCCCCGCTGTGCTCCCGGCCAATCATGTGCATCCTCTCTGCGTGAGCCAATCAGGCGCTCCGCTGGAGGTGTGACTGATGGACAGAGGACATTAGCGTCGCTGCGGGAGACGTGACGCATCAGCGACCTGTTTATGCCAGATGCCCTCCCGCCCTCCTCCCCCCGTGTGTCAGGTGCTCTCCCGTGTGTCAGGTGCTCTCCCGTGTGTCAGGTGCTCTCCCGTGTGTCTCTCCCGTGTGTCAGGTGCTCTCCCGTGTGTCAGGTGCGCCCCTGTCCTGTATTAGAGAATAAAACTCAGTTTGTTGTGACACTTTTATTAAAATGATGCAAAAACTCCAGATACAAGAAAACGACAAACGTCTGAACACAAATATTTCACACAACGAACCCGAAGACACCAGGCCTGACCTCTGACCCCTCTGACCCCTGTGACCTCTGACCCCTGTGACCTCTGATCCCTGTGACCTCTGTGACCCCTGTGACCTCTGACCCCTGTGACCTCTGACCCCTGTGACCTCTGACCTCTGTGACCTCTGACCTCTGACCCTAACACCAAAGAGACGCTTAAACGCCTCAAATGAGAGGCTCAGACTCTGTAAAAAACTAAATCTGGTCTCGTTCAGACGACTTGAGTGACTTGAATGACTTGAGTGACTTGAATGACATGAATGACTTGAGTGACTTGAGTATCTTGAGTGACTTGAATGACTTGAGTGACTTGAATGACTTGAGTAACATGAATGACTTGAGTGACTTGAATGACTTGAGTGACTTGAATGACTTGAGTGACTTGAGTAACTTGAGTGACTTGAGTAACTTGAGTGACTTGAGTAACTTGAGTAACTTGAGTGACTTGAGTAACTTGAGTGACTTGAGGTTTGGTCCTGACTTGAGTCGGTTTCACTTGTGTTGTTGTTGTTGACTGAAAAGTTCTGCAGAGGAACAAAACTTTTTCTACTTCAAAAACGAGTCTGGAGACAAAAAGAAAAAGAAAAACAACAACTGCATTTAAAATAAAAAACAAAATCAAATGTTTTTTCTTCGGTCGAAATGAAACGACTCAAACTATCAGAATTTAAGTCGTTTTAATTTGTCGTTTAAATTTGTCATTTAAATTTGTCGTTTTAATTCACACAAATCTCGTTTTTTTTTTTTCCAGTGTGAAGCAGAGGAGGCGAGGACAGACCCACACAATCGGGTCAAAGGTCAAAGGTCAGAGTTTTTACACACAAACTAAACTGGAGCCAGAGTCAATGGAGCCAAAACACGACCATGAACACTTCCTGTTTGGAACACAGTGGGTTGGCGGGCACCGGGCACCGGGTTGGCTCCAGTCTGTGGTCTGAGTCTGAGGGACTTTTCTCTAAATTAAATGTGACAGATTTTTGGGTTCATGGAACTCAAAACCTTTGAGTTCAGAAAACTCTAAATCGTCTCTTTTGTTTCTCGATGATTTTTGTCTAATAAATAGATTTGACTCATTTATTTACAATAAACACAACCAGACTCAGTCCTGGTCCTGGTCTGGATCCTGGTCTCACTGGGTCTTCATGCAGACCACACAGCGGCTGATGCTCTGCTCTTTTGGGCTCAGATCGTCTTGTCTCTTGGACCTGAGATCCTCCTGGTCTAGGTCTTGGTCCGGTCTTGAGCGCAGGTCTTGGTCCGGTCTCGGGTTCGGGTCTCGGTCCGGTCTCAGCTCCAGGGGGACTCGTGTGAGCCAGAAGCTGTAGATGTTGGAGAAATAGTGGCAGGTTCCTCTGGGTCCCTGACACTCCACAAAAGGCAAAGGTCTGAAGATCTGAAGACACGAGCCTGAAGACGTGAGGGACTGTCCCCCGCCCTCGTCCCCCGCCCCCGTGTGCTGAAACAGACAGGTGAGACAGGTGAGACAGGTGAGACAGGTGAGGGACCGCCCCCCGCCCCCGTGTGACTCACCATGAGGAAGGAGTGCCCGCTCCAGAGCTGTGCCCACCTCGGGGGGCAGGTGGGGGGTTGGGGGGCCTGGGCGTGCAGGGTGACGGCGGCGCTCGGGCTCTCGCACACAACACAGCGACTGATGTGCTCGCCGATGGCCCCGCCCACCACCGGGAGCACCGGCACCGCCCCCGACGCCGACAGCCAATAGGATTTATCGTTCCTCGAGGAGTACGAGCAGTGGGCGGAGTTACAGGACGAGAAGGGCATCGTGGAGAAAACACGCACACACGAACCCGCCTGACCTGAAACACACACACACACACACAGACGCACAACACACACACACAGACGCACACACAGACGCACACACACACACACACACACAGACGCACAACACACACACACAGACGCACACACACACACACACACACAGACACACACACACACACACACACACACACACGACACACGACACACACACACACACAGACGCACACACACACACATACACAGACACACACACACACACAGACACACACACACACACACACACACAACAACACACACAGACGCACAACACACACACACACACAGACGCACACACAGACGCACAACACACACACACAGACGCACACACAGACGCACAACACACACACACAGACGCACAACACACACACACAGACGCACACACAGACGCACAACACACACACACAGACGCACAACACACACATACACACAGACGCACAACACACACACACACACACAGACACACACACACACACACACACACAACACACACAGACGCACAACACACACACACACACACAGACGCACAACACACACACACAGACGCACACACAGACGCACAACACACACACACAGACGCACAACACACACACACACAGACGCACAACACACACACACACACAGACGCACAACACACACACACACAGACACACACACACAGACACACACAACACACACACACACACAACAACACACACAGACGCACACACACACACACACACAGACGCACAACACACACACACACAGACGCACACACACACGACGCACAACACACAGACGCACAACACACAGACGCACAACACACACACACAGACGCATAACACACATACACACACAGACGCACAACACACAGACACACAACACACACAGACACACAACACACACACACACACACACACACACACACAGACGCACAACACACACACACACACACACAACACACACACACAGACGCACAACACACACACACAACACACACACAGACGCACAACACAAACACACAAACACACAACATAAATATAATATATACAATATCACAATATCATCATTTATAAAACTACAAAAGAACACACCTGACCTGTACCACACACACACAGACGCACACAAAGTATATATAATGTGTGTTTTGTGTATTGTGTGTGTGTGTTGTGTGTATTGTGTGTGTGTTGTGTGTTATGTGTGTTGTGCGTCGTGTTGTGTGTGTGTGTGTGTTGTCTGTATTGTGTGTGTGTTGTGTGTTGTGCGTCGTGTTGTGTGTGTGTGTGTGTTGTCTGTATTGTGTGTGTGTTGTGTGTTGTGCGTCGTGTTGTGTGTGTGTTGTCTGTGTTGTGTGTGTGTTGTCTGTTGTGTGTTGTGCGTCGTGTTGTGTGTGTTGTCTGTTGTGTGTGTTGTGTGTGTGTGTTGTGTGTGTTGTCTGTGTGTGTTGTCTGTTGTGTGTGTTGTGTGTGTGTTGTCTGTGTGTGTGTTGTGCGTCGTGTTGTGTGTGTGTTGTGTGTGTGTTGTGTGTGTCTGTGTGTGTGTGTTGTGTGTGTGGTGTGTGTGTCTGTGTGTGTGTGTTGTGTGTGTGTTGTGTGTGTGTGTGTTGTGTCGTGTGTGTGTGGTGTTGTGTGTGTGTGTTGTGTGTTGTTGTGTGTGTGTGTGTTGTCTGTTGTGTTGTGTGTTGTGTGTGTTGTGCGTCGTGTTGTGTGTGTGTGTGTTGTCTGTTGTGTGTGTTGTGCGTCGTGTTGTGTGTGTTGTCTGTTGTGTGTGTTGTGTGTGTGTTGTCTGTTGTGTGTCGTGTGTGTGTGTGTGTGTTGTCTGTTGTGTGTGTTGTGTGTGTGTGTGTGTGTGTTCGTGTTGTGTGTGTTGTGTGTGTTGTTGTGTGTGTGTGTGTGTTGTGTGTGTGTGTGTGTGTGTTGTGTGTGTGTGTGTTGTCTGTTGTGTTGTGTGTGTGTTGTGTGTGTGTGTGTTGTCTGTTGTGTTGTGTGTTGTGTGTGTTGTGCGTCGTGTTGTGTGTGTGTGTGTTGTCTGTTGTGTTGTGTGTGTGTTGTGTACCCAGGTCCTGGGTGTGTGCTTTCTCTTGACCCTCCAGGTACAGGAGACTGTAGCCGCTCCACAGCGCCCTCATGTGGGCGGGGCATGTGGGAATGTTTTGTGATTGACTGTGGACGACCAATAGGAATCCGGCGCTCAGCGTGTGGTAGGGGCCGGGCGGACCGGGATCACCGATTGGCCCAGGGTCTCCTGAAACAGGAAGTGACATCACACATCTGTCAGACATTGTGATAATTATCGATGATTATATTATATATTATTATTATATATTATTATATTATTATTATATATTATTATATATTATGATATTATTATGATAAGATCATGATATTATTGTGATATTATCATTATCCATGTTCATATTCAGTATTAGTTCTAAATGTAATTATTATATTATTATTATTTTTACAGAAAATACACCCCCCCCCACTCACCCCCACAACCCCCACTCACCCTCACCCCCCCACTCACCCCCCACTCACCCCCACCCCCCACACCCCCCCACTCACCCCCCCCACAACCCCCCACTCACCCTCACCCCCCCACTCACCCCCCCACACCCCTCCACTCACCCCCCACACACCCCCACTAACCCCCGCCACACCCCCCACTCACCCCCCCACACCCCCACTCACCCCCCACTCACCCCCCCCACTCACCCCCCCACTCACCCTCACCCCCCACTCACCCCCCCACACACCCCCACTAACCCCCGCCACACCCCCCACTCACCCTCACCCCCCCACTCACCCCCCACTCACCCCCACCCCCCACTCACCCCCCCCACACCCCCCACTCACCCCCACTCACCCTCACCCCCCCACTCACCCCCCCCCCCCCCACACACACACACCCCCACTCACCCCCACAGCCCTGCTCTCCTCTGTCCCCCTGGGGCCCCTCCTCCCCAGGGTCTCCTCTGGGGCCGGGGGGTCCTGTGTCTCCTGTGAATCCTGAGTCTCCGTGCTCTCCTTTGGCTCCTGCACAAGAACAAACCTCACAGCACAGACCGACCACAGACAAACCACAGACAGACCACAGACAGACCACAGACAAACCACAGACAGACCACAGACAGACCACAGACAGACCACAGACAAACCACAGACAGACCACAGACAAACCACAGACAGACCACAGACAAACCACAGACAGACCACAGACAGACCACAGACAGACCACAGACAAACCACAGACAGACCACAGACCACAGACAGACCACAGACAGACCACAGACAGACCACAGACAGACCACAGACAGACCACAGACAGACCACAGACAAACCACAGACAAACCACAGACAGACCACAGACAGACCACAAACCACAGACAAACCACAGACAGACCACAAACCACAGACAAACCACAGACACATCTCACAGACTCACAGCGCCCCCTGTAGGACACACAGACTCACCTTTGGCCCCAGGGCAGCCTGGTTCTCCCTCGGCCCCTGTGTCTCCTGGGGTCCCAGGGGGCCCCTGCTTTCCTGGGGAGCCTGGGGGAGCGGTGGAGGGGGGGCAAGGGTCACTGTCTCCCGGGTCTCCTTTGGGCCCCTGAGGCCCCTGAGGGCCTCTGGACCCCGGCCCACCCCCGAAGCCAGGACTCCCTGAGGCCCCTCGGGGGCCCGGGACCCCCATGAGTCCAGTGCTCCCCTGTGGCCCTGTAAAGAAAACAAAAAGAATGAACAAGAAGCACCACCAGGGCCCCTGACCATCCTCCAGGGCCCCCCCACTGCCCTCTGCCCCTGGCACACTGACCTCTGCCCCCGGCACACTGACCTCTGCCCCCGGCACACTGACCTTTGCCCCCTGGCTCTCCTGGCTGCCCCGCTCCCCCTCGGGGTCCCGGGGCTCCTCGGGTTCCAGTATTTCCGGTGCAGCCCGGTTCTCCGTCGTCGCCATCGTCTCCTGGAACCGGATCACTGGGACCGGACTCCCCCGCCGGCCCCTGCACACCTGAGGAAGTGACATCACAGTGTGAAGAAGTGACATCACAGTGTGGGTCTGTGGTCTGTGGGTCTGTGGTCTGTGGGTATGTGGGTCTGTGGGTCTGTGGTCTGTGGGTCTGTGGTCTGTGGGTCTGTGGTTTGTGGGTCTGTGGTCTGTGGTCTGTGGGTCTGTGGGTCTGTGGTCTGTGGGTCTGTGGGTCTGTGGTCTGGGGTCTGTGGGTCTGTGGGTCTGTGGGTCTGTGGTCTGTGGGTCTGTGGGTCTGTGGGTCTGTGGGTCTGTGGGTCTGTGGGTCTGTGGGTCTGTGGGTCTGTGGGTCTGTGGGTCTGTGGGTCTGTGGTCTGTGGGTCTGTGGTGTCTGTGGGTCTGTGGGTCTGTGGGTCTGTGGGGTCTGTGGGTCTGTGGGTCTGTGGTCTGTCTGTGGGTCTGTGGGTCTGTGGGTCTGTGGTCTGTGGTCTGTGGGTCTGTGTCTGTGGTCTGTGGGTCTGTGGGTCTGTGGGTCTGTGGGTCTGTGGGTCTGTGGTCTGTGGTCTGTGGGTCTGTGGGTCTGTGGGTCTGTGGGTCTGTGGTCTGTGGTCTGTGGGTCTGTGGGTCTGTGGGTCTGTGGGTCTGTGGTCTGTGGGTCTGTGGGTCTGTGGGTCTGTGGGTCTGTGGTCTGTGGGTCTGTGGGTCTGTGGGTCTGTGGGTCTGTGGTCTGTGGGTCTGTGGTCTGTGGGTCTGTGGTCTGTCTGTGGGTCTGTGGGTCTGTCTGTGGGTCTGTGGGTCTGTGGGTCTGTGGGTCTGTCTGTCTGTCTGTGGGTCTGTGGGTCTGTGGGTCTGTGGGTCTGTGGGTCTGTGGGTCTGTGGGTCTGTGGGTCTGTGGTCTGTGGTCTGTGGTCGTGTCTGTGGGTCTGTGGGTCTGTGGGTCTGTGGGTCTGTGGGTCTGTGGGTCTGTGGTCTGTCTGTGGTCTGTGGGTCTGTGGGTCTGTGGGTCTGTGGTCTGTGGGTCTGTGGGTCTGTGGTGGGTCTGTGGGTCTGTGGGTCTGTGGGTCTGTGGTCTGTCTGTGGGTCTGTGGTCTGTGGGTCTGGTCTGGGTCTGTGGGGGTCTGTGTCTGTGGTCTGTGGGTCTGTGGGTCTGTGGGTCTGTGGGTCTGTGTGGTCTGTGGGTCTGTGGGTCTGTGGGTCTGTGGGTCTGTGGTCTGTGGGTCTGTGGGTCTGTGGTCTGGTCTGTGGTCTGTGGGTCTGTGGGTCTGTGGTCTGTGGGTCTGTGGCTGTGGTCTGTGGGTCTGTGGGTCTGTGGTCTGTGGGTCTGTGGGTCTGTGGTCTGTCTGTGGGTCTGTGGGTCTGTGGGTCTGTGGTCTGTGGGTCTGTGGGTCTGTGGTCTGTGGTCTGTGGTCTGTGGGTCTGTGGGTCTGTGGGTCTGTGGTCTGTCTGTGGGTCTGTGGGTCTGTGGGGTCTGTGGGTCTGTGGGTCTGTGGGTCTGTGGTCTGTGGGTCTGTGGGTCTGTGGTCTGTGGTCTGTGGGTCTGTGGGTCTGTGGTCTGTGGGTCTGTGGGTCTGTGGTCTGTGGGTCTGTGGGTCTGTGGTCTGTGGGTCTGTGGTCTGTGGGTCTGTGGTCTGTGGGTCTGTGGTCTGTGTCTGTGGGTCTGTGGTCTGTCTGTGGGTCTGTGGGTCTGTGGGTCTGTGGGTCTGTGGTCTGTCTGTGGGTCTGTGGGTCTGTGGTCTGTGGGTCTGTGGGTCTGTGGGTCTGTGGGTCTGTGGGTCTGTGGGTCTGTGGTCTGTGGGTCTGTGGTCTGTCTGTGGTCTGTGGGTCTGTGGTCTGTGGGTCTGTGGGTCTGTGGGTCTGTGGGTCTGTGGGTGGGTCTGTGGGTCTGTGGTCTGTGGTCTGTGGGTCTGTGGTCTGTGGGTCTGTGGGTCTGTGGTCTGTGGGTCTGTGGGTCTGTGGTCTGTGGTTCTGACCCGGGTCTCCGTCGGGTCCGGTGGGTCCTGGGTCTCCCTCGGCTCCGAGTTTGGGGTTGGCACAGGCAGGTCCAGATTCTCCAGGAGGTCCCTGAGGTCCCGGGGGTCCTGAGGGGTCACACAGGGGTCACACAGGGGTCAGGGGTCACACAGGGGTCAGGGGTCATACAGGGGTCACACAGGGGTCAGGGGTCACACAGGGGTCAAGGGTTATGGTATCGTTTCAGTCACAGAGTCCAGGGCTGTACCTGGGAGTCCGAAGGGGCCCTGGGGCCCGGGGGGGCCAATCTGAGAGGATCCTGGGGGCCCTGGAGGCCCTCGGGGTCCTGTGTCTCCAGGAGGCCCCTGAGAACCTTTAGGTCCTGGAAGTCCAAGACCTGAGAGACAAAAACAAGTTGCAAACCAGGACTAAACCAGGACTATAACAAGATTAAACCAGGACTAAACCAGGACTATAACGAGATTAAACCAGGACTATAACAGGACTAAACCAGGACTACACCAGGACTAAACCAGGACTACACCAGGACTAAACCAGGACTATAACAGGACTAAACCAGGACTACACCAGGACTAAACCAGGACTAAACCAGGACTATAACAGGACTAAACCAGGACTATAACAGGACTAAACCAGGACTAAACCAGGACTATAACAGGACTAAACCAGGACTACACCAGGACTAAACCAGGACTACACCAGGACTAAACCAGGACTATAACAGGACTAAACCAGGACTATAACAGGACTAAACCAGGACTATAACAGGACTAAACCAGGACTAAACAGGACTAAACCAGGACTAAACCAGGACTAAACGGTCACCTCGAGTCCCCATGTCTCCCTTCACTCCCTTTAGTCCGTCCAGACCGTGGAGACCCAGAGGACCAGGAGGACCTGAGGACAGAAGAGAAGAACCATTCAGACCCTCCTCTAGACCGGTTACAATCCTGCAGTACCTCTGAGGCCCCGGCTGCCCTGAGATCCGGGGGGTCCATCGGGCCCTGGAGGTCCGGGGAGTCCTGGAGGTCCTGGTCGGCCCCTGGGTCCTGGGGGCCCCAAAACTCCTGAAGACACAAAGTCACAGTGAGATTAGAACCTGCAACCCACAACAGGATTCAGTCCTGGTTCAGTCCTGGTTTAGTCCTGGTGTAGTCCTGGTTTAGTCCTGGTTCAGTCCTGGTTTAGTCCTGGTGTAGTCCTGGTTCAGTCCTGTTTAGTCCTGGTTTAGTCCTGGTTTAGTCCTGGTTCAGTCCTGGTTTAGTCCTGGTTCAGTCCTGGTTTAGTCCTGGTTCAGTCCTGGTTTAGTCCTGGTGTAGTCCTGGTTTAGTCCTGGTGTAGTCCTGGTTCAGTCCTGGTTTAGTCCTGGTTTAGTCCTGGTGTAGTCCTGGTTTAGTCCTGTTTAGTCCTGGTGTAGTCCTGGTTCAGTCCTGGTTTAGTCCTGGTGTAGTCCTGGTTCAGTCCTGTTTAGTCCTGGTTTAGTCCTGGTGTAGTCCTAGTTTAGTCCTGGTGTAGTCCTGGTTCAGTCCTGGTTTAGTCCTGGTGTAGTCCTGGTTTAGTCCTGGTGTAGTCCTGGTTTAGTCCTGGTGTAGTCCTGGTTCAGTCCTGGTTTAGTCCTGGTTTAGTCCTGGTTAGTCCTGGTTTAGTCCTGGTTTAGTCCTGGTGTAGTCCTGGTTTAGTCCTGGTTTAGTCCTGGTTCAGTCCTGGTTTAGTCCTGGTTCAGTCCTGGTTTAGTCCTGGTTTAGTCCTGGTTCAGTCCTGGTTTAGTCCTGGTTTAGTCCTGGTTCAGTCCTGGTTTAGTCCTGGTTTAGTCCTGGTGTAGTCCTGGTTTAGTCCTGTTTAGTCCTGGTGTAGTCCTGGTTCAGTCCTGGTTTAGTCCTGGTTCAGTCCTGGTTTAGTCCTGGTTCAGTCCTGGTTTAGTCCTGGTTTAGTCCTGGTGTAGTCCTGGTTTAGTCCTGGTGTAGTCCTGGTTCAGTCCTGGTTTAGTCCTGGTTTAGTCCTGGTGTAGTCCTGGTTTAGTCCTGTTTAGTCCTGGTGTAGTCCTGGTTCAGTCCTGGTTTAGTCCTGGTTTAGTCCTGGTGTAGTCCTGGTTTAGTCCTGGTGTAGTCCTGGTTCAGTCCTGATTTAGTCCTGGTTCAGTCCTGGTGTAGTCCTGGTTTAGTCCTGGTGTAGTCCTGGTTAAGTCCTGGTTTGGTCCTGGTTTAGTCCTGGTTTGGTCCTGGTTCAATCCTGGTTTAGTCCTGTTTAGTCCTGGTTTAGTCCCGGTGTAGTCCTGGTTCAGTCCTGGATTAGTCCTGGTTTGGTCCTGGTTTAGTCCTGGTTCAGTCCTGGATCAGTCCTGGTTTGGTCCTGGTGTAGTCCTGGTTCAGTCCTGGATTAGTCCTGGTTTGGTCCTGGTGTAGTCCTGTTTTAGTCCTGGTTTAGTCCCGGTGTAGTCCTGGTTTAGTCCTGGTTTAGTCCCGGTGTAGTCCTGGTGTAGTCCTGGTGTAGTCCTGGTTTAGTCCCGGTCTTACCCATCTCTCCTGCTGGACCCTGGACTCCGGCGTCTCCTTTACACCTGGTGTATCCTGGGAGTCCCTGGCGCCCGGATTCTCCAGGTTCTCCCTTTGGTCCTGGAGGACCTGAAAACACCAAAGCAGATCCAGGTTTAGTCCAGATGTAGACCTAGGTGTAGACCTGGACTAGACCTGGTCTGGGTCTTGACCTGGAGGTCCGTAGTCCCCCTGAGAGCCTCGATCTCCGGGGGGTCCAGGGCATCCAGACGAGTCTCCTGGGTCTCCTGCAAAACCAAGAAGTCCTGGTTTAGTCCTGGTGTAGTCCTGGTTCAGTCCTGGATTAGTCCTGGTTTGGTCCTGGTGTAGTCCTGGTTCAGTCCTGGATTAGTCCTGGTTTGGTCCTGGTTTAGTCCTGGTTCAGTCCTGGATTAGTCCTGGTTTGGTCCTGGTGTAGTCCTGGTTTAGTCCTGGTGTAGTCCTGGTTTAGTCCTGGTGTAGTCCTGGTTTAGTCCTGGTGTAGTCCAGGTCCAGTCTTACCTTTAAGACCAAAAAAACCAGGGGGCCCAGGTCCTCCATCGACGCCCGGGCAGCCCTCAGGGCCCTGAAACACACAAGAGGAGGTGTCTGGGGAGTTGGGGGGGAGTCAGGGGGAGAGGGGGAGGAGTCAGGGGGAGAGGGGGAGGAGTCAGGGGGAGAGGGGAGGAGTCAGGGGGAGAGAGAGGGGGAGGAGTCAGGGGGAGAGGCAGGGGGAGAGGGGGGAGGAGTCAGGGGGGAGAGGGTCAGGAGGAGTCAGGGGAGGGGGAGGAGATGGGGAGGAGTCAGATGGAGAGGGAGAGGAGTCAGGGGAGATGGGGAGGAGTCAGATGGAGAGGGAGAGGAGTCAGGGGGAGAGAGGGAGGAGTCAGGGGGAGAGGGGGAGGAGTCAGGGGGAGTACCTGGTCTCCGGTCAGTCCAGGGAAGCCCATGAGTCCTTTCAGGCCTTTGTATCCCTGTTTTCCTTTGGGCCCCTGGGGGCCTCTGAGGCCTGGAGCTCCGAGGGGGCCTGAGAGTCCTGCAGCCCCTGGAGGTCCAGAGAGACCAGGTGCTCCGGGGGGCCCGGGGGGCCCCTCAAACCCTGCACAGAGGCACAGAGCTCAGAGTCAGTCCAAACCAAGACCCGGTCCGAGGCCTGATCTCGGTCTTACCTCGAGGTCCGGGAAAACCTTGGGCTCCGTCCGGCCCGGGGGCCCCTCTGCGGCCCTTCTCCTCCACCACGGTCACGGGACCTGGAGGCCCCAGGGCCCCGACCGCTCCTGTCACACACACAGAGGTCAGAGGTCAGGGGTCAGAGGTCAGTGTCAGGGGTCAGAGGTCAGGGGTCAGAGTCAGGGGTCAGAACAAGCCCCCAGGTTCGAAAATGGCCGCCCATTCAAGTCAATGGGCTGAGCTCAATGTCTCATGATCCCAGATTAGCCCGGCGAGGTTCTTCCGGTGGCTGTGGGCGACCGAGCATGTGCAGTAGAGTCTTTTCTCCTACCGCACGGAGCGCGGGCTCGTGTATCACGTGATCGCTTTGACCAATCAGAGCGAGAGGAACGAGAGCGGAGCCGGAGCTAACGAATATAAAGCGTTTTTTTAAGACAACTGAAGGATTTTGAGCGAGAAAAAGTTTATGATCTAAAAATAGGTAAAAATCGCCACAAAATCCGACATTTTTGAAAGTTGTAGGTCCTGTCAGACGAACACGAGCAGGTTGTGATCACGTTGCCTCTATGAGAAAAATCTTCTCTCGGCCCATGGGATTTTTTTGACTGTAGAACCACTGAGTGACACTACGTCAACTGGAGGCAGCTACAAGCAGCAACACTGTATCCAGTTATTTTAATAGATCCATGGGTCAGAGCCCCGTCGAGCAGCTCTGGAGCTCCGCCCTCAAACACAGAGTGAAAGTGAAAGTGAAACCATCCCTCCCGTGACAGGGCATCCGGCTTAACCAGCTCAGACTGAAGGATTTTTACAACGTTTAAATCCTCAAAGCTCCTGAAGGGAAATCTGTCACCCCGAGTCACCCCAAGTCACAGAGTCACTCCGAGTCACCCCAAGTCACCCCGAGTCACAGAGTCACCCCGAGTCACCCCAAGTCACAGAGTCCCCCCGAGTCACCCCGAGTCACAGAGTCACCCCGAGTCACAGAGTCACCCCGAGTCACAGAGTCGCCCCGAGTCACCCCAAGTCACAGAGTCACCCCGAGTCACAGAGTCACCCCGAGTCACCCCAGTCACAGAGTCACCTCGAGTCACAGAGTCACAGTGAGTCACCTCGAGTCACCCCAAGTCACAGAGTCACCCCGAGTCACAGAGTCACTCCAAGTCACCCCAAGTCACCCCGAGTCACAGAGTCACCGAGTCACCCCGAGTCACCCCGACTCAGAGTTACTCAGAGTCACCCCGATTCACAGAGTCATCCCGAGTCACCCCAAGTCACAGAGTCACTCAGAGTCACCCCGAGTCACTCCGAGTCACCTCGAGTCACCCCGAGTCACTCCGAGTCACCCCACGTCGCTCCGAGTCGGCCCGAGTCACAGAGTCACCGAGTCACCCCGACTCAGAGTTACTCAGAGTCACCCCGATTCACAGAGTCACCCCGAGTCATCCCGAGTCACCCCAAATCACAGAGTCACCCCGAGTCACTCCGAGTCACCGCGAGTCACTCCGAGTCACCCTAAGTCACTCCAAGTCACAGAGTCACCCCGAGTCACAGAGTCACCCCGAGTCACCCCGAGTCACCCCAAGTCACAGAGTCACTCATAGTCACCCCGAGTCACTCCGAGTCACCCCGAGTCACTCCGAGTCACCCTAAGTCACTCCAAGTCACAGAGTCACCCCGAGTCACAGAGTCACCCCGAGTCATCCCGAGTCACCCCAAGTCACAGAGTCACTCATAGTCACCCCGAGTCACTCCGAGTCACCGCGAGTCACTCCGAGTCACCCTAAGTCACTCCGAGTCACAGAGTCACCCCAAGTCACAGAGTCACCCCGCGTCACCCCGAGTCACCTCGAGTCACCCCAAGTCACAGAGTCACCCCGAGTCACCCCGAGTCACCCCGAGTCACAGAGTCACCCCGAGTCACCCCGAATCACCTCGAGTCAGCCCAAGTCACAGAGTCACCCAGAGTCACTCCGAGTCACCCCGAGTCGCTCCGAGTCACCCTAAGTCACTCCAAGTCACCGCGAGTTACCCAGAGTCACTCCAAGTCACCCCGAGTCACCCTAAGTCACTCCGAGTTACCCAGAGTCACTCCAAGTCACCCCGAGTCACCCTAAGTCACTCCGAGTCACTCCGAGTCACCCTAAGTCACTCCAAGTCACCGCGAGTTACCCAGAGTCACTCCAAGTCACCCCGAGTCACCCTAAGTCACTCCGAGTTACCCAGAGTCACTCCAAGTCACCCCGAGTCACCCTAAGTCACTCCGAGTCACTCCGAGTCGCGCCTAGTCACTCCGAGTCACCCCGAGTCACTCTGAGTCGCCTCGAGTCACTCCGAGTCACCCTGAGTCGCTCCGAGTCACCTCGAGTCACCCCGAGTCACTCCGAGTCGCTCCGAGTCATTTCGATGGTGCAGGGGCCACAGGGGAAAGTCTCACCTTTAAGTCCCTTAGGGCCCTGGGGCCCTGGGGCCCCTTCTCGGCCTCTCTCTTCTCTAAGTCCGGCTGGTCCCACAGGTCCAACGGGCCCTGTGAAACCGGGTCCTCCGGGGGCCCCCGCCACTCCACAAGGACCGCTCTCTCCTGGGGCCCCCGGGGGCCCCGGCCGGCCCGGGTCTCCAATAGGTCCCATAGAACCCCGAAGTCCAGGGTATCCAGGGAATCCTGGAGAGCCGGTCTTTCCTTTGGGTCCTGGAGGGCCCACACCAGGGGCCCCTGGGGGCCCATGGTCCCCCTTCTCTGCAGTGCAGTCTGCACACAAAGAGAGTCAGTGTACACACAGACACACACAGACACACACACACACACAGACACACACACACACACACACACACACACACAGACACACA